GGTTTTGATTTTTTTTTCTTTTGGTTTTGAATTTGACAGCTCATTGAGAACTTCACTTTTCCCGCTTAAACTGTTTAAAATTCTGTCTCTGTCCTCTACTACAAAGACAACAATATGCAATGTATTAATTATTGTAAAACTGTCCTACTAACCTGTTTTTGAAACTGTTTCATTGCTATATTTTTCTCATTAAAATGAATAAAAAATTAAATAAAAAAATAAACATACCTCTGTCTCCAGATTTCAGATTGGTGTCCGGCCTGCAGCATTGATTCTGAGGATTACAGGAAGATTTCTTTATTTTGAGCCTATACATCTTTTAGGTATTGTAGAAATGGGAATGGTGACTTCCAATGTCCTACATGTTGGAACTGAAAACGGGACTCCTGTCCCACTTTTCCGTTCTTCACCAGTAGATGTGTTTCTCATTCATTTTGACAGATTTCTCATTGTATTTGAAGATCCTTAATGAGTTATTCATTTGCAAATATTTCATTCGATTTTATATAATTTTCCTAAGACCATCAACTTTTAAAACAAGGAACAACTAAAATTTTTTATTTGTTGTGGTTTTGTGTCATACTTAAGAAGAACATATTAAATCCTCTTTATAAAAAATAAAAAAATGTAAGGGGCTGGAGAGATGGTTCACGCAAGGGTCTGAGTTCAATCCCTGGTTCTACCAAAAAAATAAAAAAAAATTTTAAAAAATAAAATTCTGTCTCCATAACTGATAGTTGATTCTGGCCAGACCTTTGTCACCTCCTTTATAGACAAAGCAGAGGTAGCCTGTAAAATTGTTGTTTCTCCATACGTATAATTCACATAACAGAAGAAGAAAGGGAAATTATCTTCATACTCATTGATGGTGAATAGGGCCAGGCACCATGGCTTTCTGAAGCTCAGAGGCACATTAGGTGACCTGAGAGCTCTCAAGTCAGAGTTCTTGCTCAGTCCTGTCTTTTGTGCCCTTGCCAGGTCTCCTGAGATGGCAGACTCCTGGGCCCCTTGTTCCCAGTGGGGTTTTTTTGTTGTTTTATTTTTGGTGGAAGTAGGAATTGAACTCAGGCCCTTGTGCTTGCCAGGGAAGCGCTTATTCCACTGAGCCATGTGTCTGGCTCCCTGGGCCCCTTGTCTGATAAATGGTTTTGCTTTTCTTGTTCTTTTTTAATACATCACTTTTGCAAGTGATGTATTGGTAATTATTCTGCCTTTTAACATGCAACTTCTCATGCACTTCACAAACTGAATTTGTGCATATATTTGTATATTTGAATATCCTGACAAATTTCTCCTTTACAATTTTCACATACTTTGTGCTTATTGTCTATACATGTTTTTAGGACCTCAAACTTAAGTCTAAAACATGTAATATTCTTTTTTTTTTTAATGGAAAACCATTTATTTAATTCTAAATCAAAACACTTTCACAACAGTGAAAATTAGTGACTGGTCAAGAGGTGTGCTGCTGTACCTATTGCCATTTTCTGACTGTGGTGTGGACCTGGGCCTAGTCCACAAGGATGGCAGAAGGGTAGAGGCAGAGAAAACACAAAAGAAAGGTAAGCAGCTTTGGCAGAAGAGTAAGATATGTGCAGAACGGCGGGGGAAGGGGACTCCCATTAGGCTAGGCAAACAGTCCCAAATTGGCTCTGCTGTCCCACAGCCTGACAGAGGGTAAGTGAGGATCTACAAAATTCACAATCAGGTAATACGGCCAACCTGGCTTTGTAAATGAATTCCTGGGATGCTTTTGTTGATGGTCCTCTTCTGGGCTCCATTTCACTAAATATTCAAAATGATTTGTCTTTCTATCCACAACTCCTCTTTAATCTTTTTTCTGGGCTTAACTGGCTGAAGCTAACTCTCCCTCTACTAGCTGGGGGAATTAACATCAGAACAGAGATAATTTAGGGGGCCCTATGAATTTGTAGGGTTCAGAAGCTGATTGGAAAGAGCATTCTTGGGGTGTGCCCAAGAATGTTTAGAATCCATCAGGCACATGATAAAGCTGGTGGCTTATTCCTACCAACTAGATTCAACAAACCAACCACCTAGTCAATACTTTATATATTTTTAAAATACTGAACTCTGGTATTAATTAGAAGATATGAAGGAAAGGGTGTGAGAACCTTACAGCTGGGACTTCCTATTTGTTGGGTATTTCTGGGGGTGAGCTGGGAGTGGCACAGATTGGCAAAGTGAGCAAGAGGTCCCCAGGGAAGCCCACTCCCCTCGTAATGGAGGTCTCCAGGAAGAAGCTGGGCTTCTAGGATGAGGCCTGTAGGCCAAGAAAAAACCCTCTCAGCAGGTGCACTATCTGACTGGCACTACACTCTTGCAATCAGGATGAAGCTTATAAAATTGATAAAGAAACCAAAGGCTTAGAAAGAGTAACTTCCCTTGAATTTCACAGGCAGGAAGACTACATCGTGTCATTGTACTGAGGTCCCCCAGGCTTGCTGACTTCACAAGCTATCAGGCTGCCTGCTCAGGTAGGTGTCACCTACTTCCCTAGTTTTAGCACACATTCAAGGAGTTTTTTGGGAACTCTATCAAACCATACCAAAAGCAGGGTCACAGATGAGTCTCCCCCTTCACTGCTTGATAATGGACAAATTGGCTTCTGAGGATGGTGGTTTTCTACATGCAGCAGGGCTGATCCGACAAAGCCTCCAGCTTCCTCTGGGCAAGGGCAAACTCAAGAGTTTCCGCAGCACAAGGGACAGGGCTACTTGTTCAGTTCTTCCTGCACCAGAGCTTTGAATTCCACTGATGGCCCAACTCCAGGTCTTTCCTAATGTACAGCGGGCAGTCTCAGCTTTAGCAGTAGTCTATGCCAGTTACCCTCTCTCTGACAGAGAGGGCAGATAAATGTAGTTTTGAGGGAAAAGGTGACAGGAAATCTGTGGGTGAAGTCACATATCTTACCAAGGACAATCTACACCATGAAACCAGGAGGTCATTTATGCTGCTCTCCAGGGCCAAAAATGAGCGAGACCCAGAGCTAATATAGGAACTTTGGGGCTCTGGTGAATTCATGAAGTGGCTTCAACTGCTGCAATTATGGTCTTCCTGGATAGCAATATTTTGGGTGTCTGCTAAGCAGAAGAGGAAGAGGGATGAAGAGAGAACAGCACTTCATTTCCTTATAATAGAATCCTCTACACTAAAAAACTTGCCAGAACCCAATAGGAGGCAAAATAAAATATGTAGAACAATGTGACAGTGTGGACTGAGGATCTGAGAAGGGAATCTCTCAGTGTGAGTAGCCCCCACTGGCTACAGAGGCCAGTTACCAAGGGGTGGTTAAAGAGATGAAAGTTTCCATAAATACCATTTGTTTCTTTGTGATATGAAACTCAGGTAAAATTTCTTCCCACCTCTTCCATGTATAGTCCTGCTGAATTGGCTGAAATAGGATTTCATGCTGTCAATCAAGACAGAGAACATCACCAGAGCCTGAGGTTACAGAATGGTGTTTACAGTAGTGGCAATACTTGGGGTTCCTCTCCAACTGGTCGCTGAGTTCCAGAGGTCTGATGGTGGAGCTAGACTCCTTGAAGTGTTACTGACCCTGCTGACTCCTATGGTCAGAATTAGCCAAGAAGCCAAATAACAGGCTTGAAGGTTGCATATCACCAGTCCAGAGATTCAGTTGTAGATGCAGACAGAAGCCCAGCATTAGGCAATCAGGAGCCAGAACATGATCACCAGTGCCACAAATAGGAAGAGGCGTGACAGGAACTGCTCATCTGCATACTGGGGTGTCCCAGGGACAGCTGGAGGAGGCCGCCCATCATTTATGTTAAATGCTGTGGCAAATATGCCAAAAGGAAATGCCCCAATTCCAAAAGACATCTGGAAGCCACCATCTCCAAATCCAAATCCTTGAAATCCCCCTCTATTCTCCGGCTCTGGTCTTTGGCCTTGAGGACGGGGAGGGGTCTTCTCTCTGGGGTCCTGCTGCCCGGTGCTGCCCCTGCCGTACAGTGGGATCACCTTGTCTCTGCTGATGCCGGCTTTGCAAACTGGACACACCTGTCTGTTAGGTCTGGTCTCCAACCACTGATGTAAACACGGCCAACAGAAGAGGTGGCCACACAGGCTGATGACAGCATCCTTGGCTGTATCCAAGCATATATTGCACTCGAAGGTGCTGTCCTGGCCTCCGCTCTCACCACTGCCATTGCTGCTCCCACTGGGTCCCCCTGCACTGGAGTTCTCAGGGGATGCAGAGGCCGAGGGCCCCTTGCTTGCCATCCTTGGCTATCAGCAAATCCCTCAGTGAAGACTCTCCAAGGAAATCCTTGGTCACCACCATTTGTACTCCCAGGATCCCTGAGCAGTCCATACTCTGTCTCTGCGCAGGGAACGCTCCTAGGGCCGCTTCAGCCTACCAGTTTCTTGGTCTACCTGCCAACCCTACGCCTCGCCAGTCTGTGAGCTAAAACATGGAATATTCTTTTATATTCCTAAAGATCAATAAATTAGTACAGAAAGTGAATTATTATTCAGTGCTAAAATAAATAGCTGTCAGCCACAAAAATACATAGAAGATCCTAGGATGTATTCACTAAGTGAAAGAAGCTCCCAAAAGAGCTGCATACTATATAATTCATACTGACATTCCAGCAATGCAAAAACAAAAGCAAAAAGATAAGTAACTTACATGTCTTGAAGAGAAGGGAGACATTAATAGGTGAGCCACGGGATCTTAGAGCGATGAAGGTACAGTGTAGAAGATACGATGGCAGGTACGTGTCTTACAACATCTAAAGAATAGCCGACACCAAGAACGAACCCTCATGAAAATTGTGAGTTCTGAGTGATAATGTAAGTGTCAGTGTAGGTTCATCAATTGTGACAAACTACCTGCAGGTGGGTGGGGAGGGGCTAAAGCTGGGGTGGCTATGCATAAGTGAGGACAGGAGGTGTATCGCAACTGCTTTCTGCTCAGTTTTACAGTCAGTCTGAGCTGGTCGAAGAAGAAAATTGCTTTTTAAAGAATTTGACATTAAGCTTATGGAAAGGAAACTGATCTCTATGTCAATGGGTAAGTGCAATTTAATACCTGAACTTAAAGGACTGACATTACCAAATACAGGATGTGAAGTAACTGTTAAACATTCAAACATGGAGAGTGCAAATATGAGGTGCTGTTGAAAACTTTTTTGTACTGGGGATCAAACTCAGGACCATGTGCTTGCCAGGCAAGTACTTAAACCACTGAGCTATATCCCTGGCTGTTGAAAAAAATTAATTAATACTATGTACTAAAGTCAAGTGAAAGGGCTGGTGAGATAGCTCAATAAACTAAGCACCTGCTTAGGCCAGCGCAGGGACCATGGTTTAATCCCCTGCACCACATGCCACCCCGGATCCACCACCCAGGCATGCTGAACTGGCCGCTGAGACCAGGTATGGCGGTGCATGCCTGTAATCCCAGCGCTGGGGAGGCAGAAAACGAGAGGATCACCATAATTCCAAGCTGTGTAGTGAGACCCTGTACCAAATAAAATAAAGTCAAGTAAATTATACCTAATAAGAGACATCTGGTGAATCTTATGGCTCCATAGATTTGTTTTGCTAAATAGTGTTTAGACCTTTGCCCCTCAGTTTGCATGCCCACTAGTGTTGTTGAGCCAGGAAATCACTGACATTGAAAAGCTAGATGTTGACAATATTCTAGTGCCACTCTATAAATATATGATTCAGTGTGAAGTCCTGAATTCTCCTTTATTGAGCTCTTTACTGTGTGTATAGTGTGTTTGCCCACAAAAGCCACTGTAGAACAGCTAGGATTAGTAAAGCAACCTTGTCGTTTTGTGCAATGGATTGCTTTCAGTCAATGCAAAGAACAATCTTGTAACACCCTACTATATGAGGAAATCTCAGACTATCTTGAGTGAAAGAAGCCAGACACACAAATATATATAATGTGATTTTACCAAAATGAAATTGAAAGACAGGCAAAGCTAATTAATGGTGTGATGAGCCAATATAGAGGTTATCATTAGGACATTAACAGAAGATTCACACAGCCTTTTGAAGTTTTGGAAATGTTCTTTGTCTTGACTATGTGTTGGTTACATAGGTGAATATATCTGTTGAACTGATTGAAGTTAAGATTTGTGCACTTACTGTGTTTGACAGCTCAATATAAGTTAAAAAGAACAGAATTAATGTCTAGTAGGTGGTATCTGTGGTTTATCACAAGGACTAAAAGTCTCAGGTTGTCTGTTCTCTGTATCTTGGAATCAGAGTCCCCAAGGGAAACTTATGTTAATGAGCCCTTGTTGGAACAATAATTTGCTCACATAGGAAAGAGAAGGCAAGTTTAGCTCCAAAAGTGGGCATCAGTCCCCCACAGCCAGCAGGTTCCTCTTAGAAGCTGATGTAGGCCATTAGCATGCACACGTCTCTTATATTATAGTAAAAAAGAGTCCAACCCTCCCCATGAGGGATAGAAAAGGCAGTGGGGCTAGCCAGCTGCCATATAATAAGCACATACAGAAACTGATAAGTTCTCTTTGTGCAGAACCAAGGAGTACACATTGAGCCTGAAACAGGGAAAGATGCTTCCTCAAGATGATGAGACCAGCACTAGCTATGAAGATTCTTATCTCTTGGCTTTGGAGTGTGGAACTTTGACCTTTCAGCATTTCCACATTCCTTCCTTTCTACGAGATGATGCATTCTCTGAGTGTGACCCTGGCTAAATGTGGCTTAGTCAAACTCTTAGGTTAAATGTCATTGTAAATTGACCTTCTAGTACTCACAGCTTTGAATTTTACCATAAAGTGGAATTTATCACTATCATTTGCATATGTATGTGACTGAATGAATGGAATGTTAAATGCAAACACTAAGAATCTCTTGTGGCCACATCAGTTTTATATAAAGTTGTCCTGTCAGCAGTCATAACTCTCATGTCAAAGGCTGTGGTTTGGGTCAGGGCTACAGCTCTGTAGAACAGTGCCTACTGGCAAGTGCAAGGTCGTGAGTTCAATTCCCAATACCAAAAAAAAAAAAAGCTACAGTTTGTTTCACTTTAAGTAGTGCCAAGCAGTGTGACAAACAATCCAGCTACCAAAATATCTATAAGAAACCGTATAACTCTAAAAAAGAAGTATGGAGCCAAAGCATTAGAAAAAAATCTTAGCCTAAATCTTATTTTCAATCTGGGCATTTTTTTCCATGGCCATTGCCCAATTTAAGTAAAGAAACAGGAAGGCTGAGAAATGGAGTAGTAGGCATTTGACAGGAGAAAAATGATGGTACAAGGACCAGGTACAACTGTCTGCCAGAAGTTGTGGCTTGGGGTGAATTCTCCAGGCTCTAGATCCTACGGTGATAAGGCTTCAGATCTTAAGGATGATTCAGATACAAATTTAGTGCAAACTGAAATACTCAAATTATATTTACTTGTTCTACTCTGTCTTGCAAGAATTGGATTCACTGTCTTCAAGAACTCCTGTTTTACTGTTTTGCTAAGTATTTGTACAAAACAGTGGAATGTAGTCACAATAAATACTAAGTGAATGAATGAATGATCATTTAGACAAGTATAATTTTTAGTTTCCTTCACAAAATAACAGTATTTACATTACTCAGAAAATAGCCCAAAAGCCTATCCATAGCTAGCTTTTTTATTTTACTTCCACAGGAAGGCTGGAGCACTATTCTTGGGAAAACTGGCTTTCATCACATTTTATTAAGTCAGCCCTGTATTTGGAAAGTAATGACATGTTTTTCAGTCGGCCGCCACACTCACAGCCCATGCTTCTGACCTCATCAGTTTACCCCATCAAAGTCACTCTCAACCTCCAGGGCAACACTGCCACACCAACACCTTTACGTGTCAGAACAACAGTGGCCACAGGAACTGATAGATCACACAAATAATGGGACGTCATGGTAAGTAAGTCTGAGAATCAAACTAACGAACTCCATTATAGCATTTTGCCATGAGACTTCCCAGGGTCACCTGCTAATGTGCAGTGTGGACCTGCTGGAATGGATTATGTAGCTATGTGTTACTAGTGCCCAGACTGATTTGGTGAGAGATATCAAGTATATCAAGTTTGGAGTTGGGGATGTAGCTTAGTGGTAGAGTGCTTACCTGGCATGATTAAGGAGCACTGGGTTTGATCTCCAGAGCCACGAAACAAAATGAAGAACAAAAATACTTTCAAGGTTATTTTAACGTCAGTTCTTTAAAGAAGACATTTTACAAAATGCTGTGTTATCCACAAGCAATCCTATCTCTCACTCCGTTCATACAAGTGAACTGTGATGGATTTCCTTGTCAGATTTGCTTCAGTTAACACTCTCTAGGGCTGGGGAGATGGCTCAGTAGAATAAGCACTTCCCTGGCAAGCATAAGGGCCTGAGTTCAATCCCCAGTTCTGCCAAAAACAAAACAAAAGAACACTCTTTGTTTTCCCACACCCACAATCTATTTCCTAAACCTCATCTCTGTCTTTCCCAACTATATAACAACATGTCCCTTTTAAGTGCAATCAACTGAGTCAGTTGGCTGTGGCATTCTTATTCAGCCAACTTCAGAATCTAAAGATAGGTGTGGATATCTCTGTTGAAAGTTCCTTTTGGCACATAAGATTGTCATTGCTCAGCAGCCTGGAGGAGATCTAAGAGGGGTGTGAGTAACAAGACAGTTCAGCACAGCCCTGAGAACATATCCCTGTGGTTGATGGTGGGAGCTCGACATAATTCCCATTTGCAAACCATCCAAGACCACCTGCACCAGCATTTATGGTTCACTTTCCTACTGCTGGTACAAAATATCAAACATATACAATTTTGAGGAAGAAGTGGTTATTCTGCCCCATAGTTTCAGATGTTTCACTGCATGGTGAGTTGGTTTTATGGCAGAAACATGCTGATAGCAGTGTGTGATACAGGAAATCTTCTCACCTCATGGTGGACAGGAAGCACAGTGAGCAGAGAGAGAGAGAGAGCCTGAAAGCGAATGTATTCAGAGACAAGGGAGTATCCCTCTAGATCATGTCCCCACCAACCCATCTCCTCCAACCAAGATCTTCCCACTAAAAGCACATTCAGTTAGGAACACATCAGCGGATTAATCCATTAATAAGGTTAGCATTCCCATGATCTATTCATCTTCCAAAAGCCCAAGATCTGAGCACATGAGCTTTTGGGGAAACATAATGGATCCCAAACATAACATTCAAACTTTGCCCCAAATATTCATGTCCATCTCATATGTAAAATGATTTGTCCATTTGTAAGAGTTGTTAAAGTTTCTA